CTCGTAATAGCAACCGGAGTACCACTTCAACTCCCCTAGAGACTTCACTGGCACGTACCCTTCCAGGTCCTTGCCGAATTGATCACACTTCTCCTTCGTCCCCACTGCAAAAAACTCGTCTACATGTGCTACGCAAAGCAACACTACTCCCCCCTCTTCGACTAGACGAAAAACACACGAATCAGTCATGCACTGCTCGAACCCCAAAGCCAAAAGTCATTTCTTTAGTAAGGCGTACCACTCTCTAGATGCCTGCCTCAAGCCATAAAGACTCTTGTTCAACTGCACTAACTTCCCTGACAACGCACCACATCCTTCCGGCAGTCGCATGCAAATGTCTTCCTTGAGAGGGGCCCTCACAAAAGCCTGGTCGACATCGAAGTGACACAACTCCAAGTCAAGCTCACACGCCAAAGCTGCCAACATACGAACACTAGATGAAACTACAGTAGGTGCATACAAGTCACCAAAGTCAATGAACTCCTTCTGCATGTCTCCTCTCGCAACAAGTCTAGCCTTGGCCTTCGTAGGAAAGCCGAACGCATCTACCTTCCAATCAAAAATCAACTTCGACTTGATGCAGTTGTCTATTCGCTGCTACGGTCCAACAATCTTAAACGCGTCTGCTTCTAGCAATCCAAACACCTCACGCTTGGCCGCATCCATGAACTGTTCGGTTTGTTCGCTCTGCTTTGCCTCTTGAAAGTCTGGGGTACTCGGCGGTCCTTTGCGTGGCAGCGCGGCATGTCGGGTCGCAAGAGAGGCGGCTCCGTCTCGCGCACAGCTGAGTCGAGGTCGTCGCGCGTCGCAAGACGCGCCACAAGTCCGAGCGGAACGCCCCGCTCAGACGGACCGATCGACCAACCATTCCCCATGCGTCCCTCCTCGCCGATGTCCACCTCCGGCAACTTTCCCGTGCTCCCTACCACGCCCTCACTCCTCGCGAGCTGCTCGCCTCTGTCCCCCTTCTCGCCGCCCCCCTTCAATCCTGACCGGAGCATTGTCTTGCCGTTCATGACTCGCCGAGCATCCAGCATGGAGAGGAGGACGTCTTCGTTTGCTTGAGCCAGCAGCCCCATGGTGATCTCGATCGGAGGGAGAGGCGAGGTGACGGCATCGTTCCGCAGTGATGGCAACTGCCGGTCCACCGATAGGGCAGAAAGCTGTTGCTGGGCGATGGTGCGCGCTTCCGCTCTCGTGCGTCCTCGGATCCGCGGATCTCCCCCCTCGCCTAGCAGTCTCGAAGCATGGGGCGTGAGAGGTGCGTACCCCGGTGCGGTCGCCGACTGTGTGGTCCGCCGGTCTTGGTGCGGTTGCGGCGGGGACTGCTCAGCCTCAATGGATGAGGACGACCAGTCCGGGAGCGGCGGCGACGGCGACGGCGGCGCAGACCCCGGAGGCGGCGGCGACGGCGACGGTCCGGCGGCGGTAGCAGCAGCGGGCGGCGGTGGAGCGCCGGATGTCGATGGCGCGGGCGGCCTCGGGAGCGGCGGAGCGGCAGCACCAGGCGAAGGCGCGGGCCACAACGCGGGCCCCGAAGGCGGCGACGGCAGCGACGGTCCGGCGGCGGTAGCAGCAGCGGGCGGCGGTGGAAGGCCGGATATCGATGACGCGGGCGNCGGCGGCGGCGACGGTCCGGCGGCGGTAGCAGCAGCGGGCGGCGGTGGAAAGGCGGATGTCGATGACGCGGGCAGCCTCGCGACCGGCGGAGCGGCAGCACCAGGCGAAGGCGCGGGCCACAACGCGGGCCCCGAAGGCGGCGACGGCAGCGACGGTCCGGCGGCGGTAGCAGCAGCGGGCGGCGGTGGAAAGGCGGATGTCGATGACGCGGGCAGCCTCGCGACCGGCGGAGCGGCAGCACCAGGCGAAGGCGCGGGCCACAACGCGGGCCCCGAAGGCGGCGACGGCAGCGACGGTCCGGCGGCGGTAGCAGCAGCGGGCGGCGGTGGAAAGGCGGATGTCGATGACGCGGGCAGCCTCGCGACCGGCGGAGCGGCAGCACCAGGCGAAGGCGCGGGCCACAACGCGGGCCCCGAAACGGCGGCGGCGGCGGCGACAATCCGGCGGCGAAGCGACGACCTCGAAGGGTAGATGCTGGGGCGTGGGTAGAGTCCCCGCGGAGGGGGTNCCCCCCCCCGACGGCGGGAGCGCCGCCCACGCTACACTGGAGGTGTAGCACACGTGGCCGGTCCTCTCCTTGAGCACCTTATCCGTGACGTCGGCGTGGTTGTCCCCGGCGTCGAAAAAAAATCACGGCACGGCCCTGTCGTCCGTTTTCGTCGCCGGCCGCTCCCACATGAAACCCTACTGGAAGAACGGGATCAAGCGAAAAAGGCCTCCCTTGCCGGTGTAGAGTTCCTGCGGCTGCAGCGACGCACCCCCGGGGTTGGCAAGCACCATCGGCAGCTGTCCATCGTGCCCGTGAGGGTAATCCCGTGCTGCTTCGCGGACAGTCTCAAAATGGGTTCGGACAAGTGGCCGGCACGGTTGTGGAACGTGTCAATATCCATAACCTTTTGTGCATTGCCGACATTGAAAGGTGTCTTCCCCGGACCCAACACAGCCAAAGCGCGTTCACACTCTTCACTCTCTCACATATCAATCATCTTCGCCGAGTATTCCGCTACAGCATCCGTCACACGGGGGGCTTCTAGATCGGAATCCGTCGCGGCTCTAAGAGCCGATGCCACAAAGGAAAAATAGCTCTCACGGGCACTCTCATTCGTNGTAATCCCGTGCTGCTTCGCGGACAGTCTCAAAATGGGTTCGGACAAGTGGCCGGCACGGTTGTGGAACGTGTCAATATCCATAACCTTTTGTGCATTGCCGACATTGAAAGGTGTCTTCCCCGGACCCAACACAGCCAAAGCGCGTTCACACTCTTCACTCTCTCACATATCAATCATCTTCGCCGAGTATTCCGCTACAGCATCCGTCACACGGGGGGCTTCTAGATCGGAATCCGTCGCGGCTCTAAGAGCCGATGCCACAAAGGAAAAATAGCTCTCACGGGCACTCTCATTCGTAACGTCCATAGAAGGCAGGGATTTGTGGGGAAGGCGGGTTGCAAAAAGGGAATCGCTCGAAACGCCACGAATAAAACGCAGTTTTCCGTGCATCATTTGCGTGCCGTTGGGGTTGATACGGACCTCATGCTGGTGAGACACCTTCCATACCGAGAAAAGGTTGAAACCACACCCTTCCTATTTGGTGGAACCTAAGGTCCAAGCTCCCTACAGCGGCAACCTTGATGAGAGCCGAGTCTCCAATCTGTATGAATTGTTCATCCGGGCCCAAGCGGCGTTGATTATACGTTGCATCCACTTTGTTCGAAATCACTGCACTAGCTCCAGAATCGGCCTGCCATTGCTCACTACCAATCGGATTCGGCATGGAGGGTTGGCACAAGAAAGCTTTTCAACCGTGGGACGGCGGGTGAGACGGGCTACGACAACCTTTCCAGGCACACTTGGTACAGCAGGGACAGATGCATCACACTCCGAAACGCCGACCACTTCATCAGGACTCTCAAGTACAGCGGGCACGCGGGGTACATCATGAGTAGACACACCAAACGTCGAGACACCGAACTCATCATCAGAACCTTCATGCACAGCAGGCACGCGGGGAACACCAGGCATTGACACATCAGACTCCACACTCGTGAACACGCTAGACATCGAAAAACCAACATCCTTCTCATNCCTTTCCAGGCACACTTGGTACAGCAGGGACAGATGCATCACACTCCGAAACGCCGACCACTTCATCAGGACTCTCAAGTACAGCGGGCACGCGGGGTACATCATGAGTAGACACACCAAACGTCGAGACACCGAACTCATCATCAGAACCTTCATGCACAGCAGGCACGCGGGGAACACCAGGCATTGACACATCAGACTCCACACTCGTGAACACGCTAGACATCGAAAAACCAACATCCTTCTCATAATCAATCTCAGACTTGCCTCGAGGGCACACGCCACGTGCCATGAAGAGACGCAGAGGGGAATCGCCGGCTGGAGGTAGAGCGTCGCCAGGAGCTGGAGAGGAAGAGGAAGCGGAAGAGGTCGCCTGGGGTGCACCGTAGTGCTGCTGATGCTGCTGATGCTGCTGATGCTGCGAGGTATCGAAGGCCTCGTAAGCTCGTGGTTGTTGGGCGTCCGGTCCAGCAGCAGAAGGATAGTGTGGTACGTTGCTCACTTGTTGCTGCTGGTAGAGCCCTCCGCCGTCGGGGAATCGGTGGAAACCGT